ACAGCGACGTTGGTGAGCCCAAAGGGTAGGGCCGTAACCCCTGGAGTTTCCTGATTCACCTTTGATAGATCTAAATCAGAGGGTGGTCGGCGCTGGACCAGAGTGGTCAGAGCCAATTCTGCGATGGAGAGGCAATCGGTGAGCTTCTGGCCAACCTGATCGATGGATGCGATCAGATTGTCGTTGTTGATTTGCCTTCTTGGGTAATGGGGGAGCGGGCGGCGAATTGTCGGCGAAGGCGACCTCGAAGGCGGTTCCGAGATCGGATCTGCAGTCGCAGGTGTTGGGGTGATCGACGTAGTATTGATCTGCACCGGCTCGATGAGCTCTTTGACTCCGTCAGCGTTGATGATCCAGGAGATCCATCCGACCGTGAAGATCTGGTCGGGCTGTGGGAGGGACGAAGAGCCAGCAAAACGTACCATCTTGTTCGACATGGAAACAGCACGCACACCCCTATCTGGCGCGTCAACTGTCGACAGAATATCATCGGCAGTCCTCCGAGGGGTATCCCACGAAGGTAGATTGATCGGCAGAGATGCGTGTAATTGAGAACAAGAAGGCAACAGTGACACACGAGTTAGACAGGTTCAGGCCGTCAGCACGACGTAATACCCTACTCCTGTGGTTTGTTGGATTGTATTGACTATCGTATGATATTGCGTGTATTTAGAGGGGGTCCCTGTCCGTCTTATATAGTCCGGAGGCAGGGTTACAAGTCGGTTAGATCTAAAAGATAACCGGAAAGTAATAACATATTACAGGAATCATGGGATCATACGTATCATAACAGATCTCGTAGTATCTTCAGAATATCTTTCCGGTGTCTTGCGGGACGCGCGCGAGCAACGTCGTGCCCCACAAGGCTTCGTGCCTCGACAAGAGTGCTAAGAGACAGTTATGAAAAGACTTAGATGGCCTGATTAGAGCTGCATCTAGTAGTGACAAGTTTTTTTATAGGAGGAGATCTTAATAGGCATGTAGGTACTACCAGTTTATGAAAGTTTTGAGTATGGTAGTAGGAATCAGGAAGAGGAGAAAGTTCTAAACTTCACGGGAGCTTTTGACCTAATGATAGCCAACACTCGGATACTACTCTAACCAGATTGATTTTGCCCTCGTAACGAAAGAGGATTTTTTTTAACCAAATCCCGCCCGAGGGGGGATCGAACTTGGGCCGGCAGGGTGCAAGGTGCACCGTCCGACCAACCAGACAGGCGCTCGCTTGCCTGGACAATCACTTTAGCAGTGATATGTCTTCGTTACCGGATCAAAAGCCTAGGATTTAGACTGCCCAGTTAATCAGACTAGGCCATGTAGAGTGCACAGGCTCTTAGAGAGGCGTTTAGTGGGAGAGAAAAAAATTCGTCAGCGAGCGATTTAAACTTACAATGGAAGAATAAAATAAAGGCGCTTAGCTCGTCTGGTACGAACCGTTTTGTGTGGCAGCGAAGCACCCGTCACCGCGGGATCACGCAAGAACTCCTCTAGGCGTCGCTGCCGTCCTCAAGCGCATGGTTTGGTCCATCCTGGAGTACAAGCTGGCAAAAGAACAGCCCAACGGCCCATAACTGTCCGTAAGCGTCGACCATTTTACAAGCCCTCCGTGTTTTGCGTTGCCGCCTTGCCAGTTACCAAACCGGTCCAGAAAAGCACTCCTCGAGCAGAGCGGCCGGGAATTGCGCTCTCACAGCGCGGTTTTGGCTGGTAGAGCTGAAAAATCCAGCTCCCACTAGCTCCTTGTCAGGCGCGCATGGACCCATGGTGCATTTGGCCGTGGCTGCCTTCTTCCCTGCCGTGGCTTCTTCTTTCTTGCCTCTGCTTCTCCACGACGCCGGCGTTGGTATGGCCACACGGAGCGACGACTGTGTGGGCACGGACCGGTCGGAACAGGCGGTGCGCGGCGCGGGGGCCAGGTGCTGGAGCGGTGGGCGCCGGAAATCTTCGGGTCTGAGCGGCCGGACCCGAAGCTCGCGCCGAACAGCGCGCGGGAGCGGGATAGCAGAGCGGGCGATACGTTAGTTTTTTTTTTTCTTTTTTTCTTATTCTTCTCATTGACTACTCTGGAGCTAGAAATTATGAACATGCTCGTAAGCAAGAGCACTACACTTGAATGATAGTCATAAGTCAAAATTCTATAGAGGGGTATATGTTTTATACCACCAAAGTACGAGGTTACAACCCATACGGCCGTCGGTACATAAGGAGTAACCCATGCTTCAACAAATCTCATATTGGTCGCTTGGAGGAATTCTTGAGGAATTTGGATGGTTTGGAGGAATGCTGAAGGAATTTGTGAGAGAAAAACACTGTTTTCGGATGAAAAAAGAAGCGGATCAAGCCGGGTTTAAGGGCACGGGAACGGGGCCATAACTGGCCAAATTACTCATGAACGGTTTGAGATGGTCCGGGGAACTAGCTTTCAATTCTAGGTATCCCGCGCCCCAAATTGGTGGTTATCCCATTGCGACACAATACTTGGTTTACCATAGCCATACATGGCAAGTGATTTATACAGAAGGTGTGTTCCAAACATGTTACAACAGATGACACAATTCTTAACCAGTCAAAGGCGAGTTATATCATCCAAAGAACCCGGTCTCACCACGACCCTAATTAACCCCTCGCCAGTCATCACATAAATTTCATTAACTGTGCCAAGTTTTAGATCATTGCTCCTTCCTCATATTTTTACACCAACTAATGGAGAGTGTTTGGTTCAAGAAATGGGTGGTCAGTCGCCTTTTCACTCATAATTTTATTTGGTCCGTTGAATAGAACGAGTTGATCCATCAATAACTTATCCTTTAACCAGCACACAATTAGTATAGATACAGGACATGGAGTTATTCTACCAATGTTTATTGAAAAGAACTCATCATGTGCACCAACCATCTATGGTGAGATGATTCCTGAAACGGTCAAACCAAGCACCCCCAAATAGGTACCTATAGCATAAGATTTTGTACAAGTATATGTAGAGTTATTAGACAACTGAAAATACAATTGTACTTAGCTTCTAGTTGCAAACCTAGCTAACAATTTGTAACTGGAAGAAGTGGTGGAAGAGAATGCAGGCAGCGAAGAGCCTAACCTTTAAGGGGCCGTTTGGATCAAAGGATTTTCATAGGAAAATCAAAGGAAACCAAAACGCATGAAAGGAAAGGGAATGGAGCATTTGGAACAAAGGAAAATAATCTTTTCTTTTCTCAGCCAGACCCAAAGCGGGCTTCTCCCGATGCACCTTGCGCTCCCTTCCTTCCTTGGATGTTGCAAGCGTATGTTCCAAGTATTTCAGGTGTTTCGTATGCATGTTGCAAGTGTTTCATGTGGATATTGCAAAAGTAGATCGGGATGTTGCATATGTTTTGCAATGGCTATACACGTATGTTGCAAGCGTCTGTTCCAAATGTTTCAGCTGTTTCATATGCATGTTGCAAGTGTTTCATGTGGATGTTGCACAAGTAGATCAGGATGTTGCGTATGTTTTGCAATGGCTATACACGTATGTTGCAAGCGGCTGTTCCAAATGTTTCGGCTGTTTTAGACGGATGTTGCACGTGTTTTATTTGGGTGCTGCATATGTTTCACACATATGTTGCAAGTGTTTCGTTCGGATGTTTCATATGTTTTCACACATACGTTGCAAGTGTTTCATCTAGATGTTGCATATGTTTTGCAATGGCTACACACGTGTTTTCCTCGTGTTTCAAACGTATGTTGCAAGTGTTTCAACTGTTTCGGACGTATGTTGTAAATGTTGTCCTCTAGATATTGTAAAAGTAGATCTGGTGTTGCACATGTTGCAGTGGACTCTATCTGCAGCAGCCGCCTACTGCAGTTGTTGGGCCCGCCTGCACGAGCGTGGGTGTAGAGGGGGTGCGAGCGGCAGGCGTAGGAAACTGTGCGGGCGCAGATCAAGACGAAGCGAGCGTCGAGCACAGAGCGGTACGAGACATGGAGCGGGCACGGGACCAGTGGCGCGGAACCCTACGCGCGGGCGTCCGGACACTAGCCTTTCCCTAACTGTTGTTGTGATGGAGCACAATTCGAAATTTCGATTGCAGGACAGCAGCACCATTTCAGGCCTGTGTGCGCTGCTTATTAGCTAGCAGATGATCAGAAGTTCAGAACATGCAGTGCTTGCATTTGCATGTACTTGGAGCTGAACTTGTTGCTTCTTGTCGACAGAGGGAAGTTGTTGCATACAAGAGATCCTGGTCCTGGTCGGTCACGTAGTTATTGGGTCAGCTTTTGTCAAATTCAAATTTGTTCGGTAAACTGGTCAACTCTTAGCATCTTGAAGCACAATAGGGCAACTGATCTGCTTGCAAAGTGGTTGGAACTCCGAAGGGTGTAGTTCGACTTCAGACTAGAGTTCGTTTAGTCATTGAGGCAGTGAAAGCTTGAAAATACAAACCACAGATGGATTAAAGCTCAGACAGTTGTCCGTTAACACAGAAGACCCAGACCAGACAGTGAACACCTCTGTTGGAACATTTAGCACTGTACAACTACGACAATTGACCAGAACAATATAAAATAATTCTAACAAGGTAAAATCTAATTGTCAAGCATTAAATCTCTACCAAAGTCATCTCACATGTTCATTTTTTTTTCCAAATATATCTTTGCTCAACATGACAATGGGCCGTTTATCTCCAGAACTGCGCCTGCGATGCAGTAAACATGAAATGATGTTCCAAGTATGCATGTTTGGCAACTGCAAGCCTTCTCTGTTTTCCCAGAAGAATGGTAAGATATTTTGTGAAATGTGATCCATCAAGCCATAATATGGGCATCCAGTAGGGGAAAAAAGCAGTGAAATATAATCTTCTAATGTTCCCACACCATAAAAGAGAATAAACTAATACATTGTTACACAGCAAAGGAACCATCAACAACAAAGAACTCGCTATGATGGACTAATCTGCCAGAGGTAGCAAAACGTACAAAAAAAGTTGTCCCAATCACATTGGTTGGCCTCGTGATATAAATGATCAAGTTTCTTTTACAGCCTGTTTGCTTCTCCGTTGGTGTACATCCCAGTTGAATACCCGAGCAATTGTAACCTGATCAAGATATCATTCCACACTATAGGTATGAGGCCATGGTATAATCATTGCTGAATCATGCAAACTAAGATCATTTAAGCTAGTCAACAATTTTACCTGAGTGATGGTTTGCTGGTCTCGCAAGAACTGAAGATCAGCAACAAGGACTTCTAAGCTGGCCTTGGCATTTTCCAAGTTTTTCTTCAAGAGGGCATTGGCCTGCAAAAGTTCAGGAAATAAGGGGGCTGAACTGAAACAAAAGTAGCACTGAAAATATGGATGGTCATTGTTTAGTAACCTCATCACAAGAGTACTCCAACATCACATTTGCACCCAACCACAGGCACACTGAGTCGGTATCCTCAATTTTTGCACGGGAGTAGATTCCCTCGGATAATTCGAAATCAGCTATGAGTGCCTGCATCAGTTAATTGGAAGCCATGGACAGTTAGCTTTCACTGAGCCAATTGATTTGCTCAAGTCCAGTCCGAACTAGAATCGATCATGATTTTAGTGTAAAAAGTATTGAGCCTACTGCTTAGTTTCCTGCAAATGTGCACAATGTGTAGATAATAGTTAAGTTTAAATGGCACTACAGATGAAACGATTTGACATGTATGTAGTGCAAGCATATGAAACCCCTGGTGCAGGCACACTAACCTTTCCCAAATCCCAATCATAAAATTCCTTCAGTTGGGTGCTTTACTGAGAATTCAATTTTTAATTTACTTTTCATGCTTAAATCTTTATACAACATAAATTATTTTTTCTCAAACAACCAGGAGAGCTGCGTGTCATTTCATTAGGAGGAAACAAAAGGAAAAAAAAAACAACAAGGGAGAGGCACGAGGCATAATCCCAGAAACACCCCACAACATAAATTATTATTATACATAAATGATACTGCATACTCAAGTTACTAATAACAAATAAAAGTAACAAAGTACACAATAAACAAGTAAATTATAATTCAATATATAGTTGAAGTACAGGATATAAAGTTTCTAGATAGCAGAACACAAGGTCCAAAGAGTAATAACCTAGTCCCCTGGAATAATGTAAAGGAACCAATGGGCCATGTACAGCGTCGTAACTGAACACTTTATAGGCCTAAGTGCGAGTACAGCCCTAACAATAGTGTCATCATCATGATGGAAGATGAAAAGAAAGTAGATAACTCAGATTCTAGGAAATTGTACAAACCTCACCCAAATCCTTTTTAGCTTGTAATGTTGCAACAATATCCAAGCACTTCTCTATGTCAGGAATCTTTGCCTGTCAACAGAACAGATGGCTAATATGTTACATCTGATTGCTAACATAAAGTAATATTCATCACAGCAATTCAATTTTTTTACCACTAATCCAATACTCCATGCAATTCAATTTTTTACCACTAATCCAATACTCCACTATAAAATGTAGGTCGTTATAGTTTTGTCCTAAATAAAAGTTATCTAACTTTGACCAAGTTTGTAGAAAAATACACCAACATGTACAACATCAAGTAAGCTTAATAATTAAATAAAAGATGAAATAGGTATTGATAGTGCAATTAATTGGTACTCCCTCTGTCCAGTTTTGTTCGTTGCCTAAGGTCCAGAAAAGTTTCCAAGTCTGATAAGTGTATTTCCATCAGCCGCTGTTTTATCAATTATCACAGGGTGTACATGGGTGTTGCCTGGTTTCGCTCATGCAGCCACGTTAGGGTTTCCATATTCAATGGGCAGCGCATGCAGGAAAGTGCAGCTTGCAACGTCTCCGTATTCATTGCTGCATTAATGTGCAGCTGGCAGCATCTGATCGCACAGGGAGTTAGTTTTTCGTTGGACTCTGTGTTTTTTGCTTAGACATAGATCAAAGATGGATGGAGTGACTATTATAGATGTTAATATATTTTTCTATAAACTTGGTCAAAGTTAGAGAAATTTGAATTGGGACGAGACTAAATTGACATACATTTTAGAACGAGGGAGTAACTTACTTTACTCACCTAATGCTAAGAGGTTCATGATGAAAGCCTTAGATGTAAAACCAAATCTTCACACTTTCACCCATAAGTTCACATTGACTTCAGTAGGCAACACTAAGTTTACTAATCATATGAATATCATACATCACATAAGCAAGCCTACAAAAATCTGAAGGAAAATAATATGAGCACCTGAAGGTCTCTTTGTTGTGCTAGAAGCTTCATCTCCACTATTTTGTACTGCTGCAACCTAAACAAAATGGAAAGCACATGTTATGTTTCTCCTAAAAATAAGCATGACAGATAAAAATATGAACATTCAAAGTAAGGCTATTTAGCCACAATTTGACAGAAATTCCTTTGAAAAGAAATTAGAATGAACTAATCTCAACCATGTCTGCCCTGATTGCATTTAAGGTTCCTCCGAATGAGCACACTAGTCCCACAAGTAGTACTGTCAATGTATTAGCTCAAAAAATATATCAGGATCCCAAGGCAAACAGAAATTCATTCTTTGAGCGCATTAGTAGTACTACAAAGATTCAGATTCAAAATACTATGACGGTATGACCATTCTGAACCCTGAAATGTCCACGTAATTTACTCTTATTTTGGTACGCCATAAGAATAGCATGGGGTAGAAGATAATCTCCCAAAATATAGAAGCTGGTCCCTAGGCTACATTTTCTTCCTCCACTATGCGGGTGACAATCTGCAGACTCCCAGAGCCATGCAACCATAATAAAGTTAAACTGGACACAGGCACACAACAATTCTGCCATGTTTCATGCCTAATGATGGTCTTCCACTAGGAATGAAAACGAGTGGAAACAGTCAGGAACTGTACCATATAACTATAATATGGGAAACGAAAAAAACAATCGGTGCAGGATTTTCCCATATTTATGGAATTAACTAATAAGAAAACAGTTAAGCTAAATAAGAAAATGACAAAGTTTTATGCTTGCTAAAAACAGAAACGGTTGAAAACATTATCATAATACAGAAAAGCGATATCAGGCGGTATGGGAATTTCCCATACCGCTTTCCTATCTTCCACTAAATAGTAGCTACTGAATACACAGTATGCATAGATTCACACATTACGGAGAGCATATGACAGCAACATCACTTCCCCTCATGTCCCAGCACTCAGTCTTGTCAGGTCTGGGATCAGATGATGGCCACAAGTTTCGCACCCGGACATTGGAAATGACTGGATATATATATGGGCTGCTGTACTGGGCAAGGATATAGGCTGAGCCTTGACTCTTTCAAAGCAAGTAACACCTTACACGAAGTTTTACTGGAAAAACATTGAAGCACCCTGCGTCTTTTCCGTTACGGTAGCATAAAAGAACAGCAAATTAGGCCCCGACAGTTTTCACATAAAAACACTTGACAAAGTAGGAATAAACCAATAGGGTACCAATTCAGAATGGTATGATTAAAGATTATGGATGGGACAGAAAATTAAATGTATTTGCAGACAAAGAGTTAAATTGGCTGATAGCTAGGGCAACCCACATTTCAGTGCAGACATGAAAACTTTGATCACTTCAACCAATATGGAATGAACTCTGCCTAACAATTGAACAGAAATAACCCTTCCACTCATTTATTGGACGGCTCACGGAAGAGTTTGCATTTTAGCACTCAGTATTTCATTCATAAATAAGAAGAAAATAAATATGTCCCATTTAATCACGGACATTGCTTAAAGGTACTGCTATATAATAAAAGAAAACATAACATATTACAAAAGCAATGTCCACCTCAGACTAAACAAGGATACAATCAGAATTCCACGATTTTTAAGAAGAAATGTTGAATGGATGGGAAGGTAACACTTTATGAAAGATACAAAACAAATATACCACTTCTCCCAGATGAAGCACAATCCAAGGAGGGAACGAATGCAGGGCAAGCTATATAAACCCACAAGGCAGTAAGTTTACAAAAATAGAGTCCGCAGGGAATAAATCTAGATTCCCGCCACAACCAGCTAGAATCTTCTTTTCTTTTTCTTATGTTTTGTGCAAATACAAGCACCAAATGCTCCTACTGTCGAACTGCATAATCAGCAAGCATGGATAACCAAAACAAAAGGAGGGACCTTTGCAAACCATAAATGGTATCCGAGTCGGGGACCAAGTAATAACCACAGCATATTCAGCAAACAGATAGTAGAACAAAAGCTACTCCAAAACCAGGATGCGGCAAATAGCTTGAAAGAGTTGGAGACTCTGCGAAGGGGTATCGAGATTCACACTCGCAGGAATACGAGCGAAGGCCCATCAATCTATGAAGTATGAAACCAGTAGAATGTCCAGACCCCCCGCAGAAACCCTGAACCAGTCAACTCGATTGCTCCCAGTTCGTAAGCTCAACTAACAAGCGGAGGTGGAGTGGGATCATCAACCACCACTGTCACAAGTCACAAACACGCAGCTGGGATCCGAACAAAGCAGCCGCATCTCCTCTCCAAAAGCTACGCGTCGGAGGAGCTCGCACAGTGGATCCAGGTCGTACCCGATACGACAGGCGCCAGCGGTACCAATACGCGATTCCCCGAATCAAGCGCGCGCGCTCCGGAGCCTAGAGCTACTACTGTACCCAAAGCTTTTGAGGTTTTGTTCACCTTTCCTGTAGGAAGGCGAGGGCGGAGTTGACTTCGAGCCCGGCCTGGCGGAGGTAGGCCTCGACGTCCTCGACGAAGGCCGCCGCCGGGATGCCCCGCCGCTCCGCCACCCCCTGCGGCGTCGACGCCGCCGCCGCCGCCATGTGAGAGAGAGAGGACCCAAGTGGAGATGGAGAGAGAAAGAGGAGAAGCAGGCAGAGTCAAAGCCCAAAGAGCAACAAGCACATATATCAGGGCCGAGCACAGACAGTGGGTGACGGAAAAGGCCCACGGGATGGGAATGATCCATGGGCCACTCGGCCGGCCGTTAACCCAACTACTCACGGCCAGACACGACGACAGTAAAGGATCCATCGGAGATGATGATAGCTCGATCGAGGAAGCTGCGCTCGTCGCGGTGCTTGCGACCTTGCGTTATGCTTCTAAGAGCGTGTTTAGCCTTTGTTTAGTCGGAGAAATTTGAATTTTGGGGCTACTGTAGCACGTTCATTTTTATTTGGCAAATAGTGTTCAAATATGGACTAATTAGGCTCAAAACGTTTGTCTCGCAATTTCCCACCAAAATGTGCAATTAGTTTTTCTTTTCGTCTACATTTAATGCTCCATACACGGGCCGCAAACATTCGATGTGACAGATACTGTAACAACTTTTTGGAAGTTAGGGTGGAACTAAACAAGGGCTTAGTTCCCTGAATTTGGGAATTTGGGCTACTGTAGCACGTTCGTTTTTATTTAGTAAATAGTATTCAATCATGGACTAATTAGGTTTAAAACGTTCGTCTCGTAATTTCCAACCAAACTGTGCAATTAGTTTTTTTTCGTCTAAATTTAATGCTCATGCACGTATCGCAAGATTCGATGTGATGGGTACTGTAGCACTTTTTTGGATTTTGGGGTAGCAACTAAGGGCGCGTTTAGATCCAAAAATTTTTGAGTTTTGGCTATCATAGCATTTTCGTTTGTATTTGGTAATTAGTGTCTAATTATGGACCAATTAGGTTCGAAAGTTTCGTCTCGTAATTTCTCACCTAACTGTGCAATTAGTTTTTTTTCATCTATATTTAGTACTCTATGCATGTACCGCAAGATTTGATGTGATGAATATTGCTCAAAAAATTTTGGCAACTAAACAACCCCTAAACACGCGCTAATCCCTGTTGCGTCCTCAGTCTGTCCGTTAGGGCAGGGCCGGCCAACGCAGCCAGCCACCGTACCGGACGTGATTGATTGGGTACTTAAGGTGTGCGTGTGTGCAGTGCTCTTCAGGCTTTCTGCAGTGCAGCAGGATCTTTTAATGTAGGCCGGCATTTGGATGGTTAGACCGTCTCTGACAGCAGCGACCTAACTATAAGACTCATTTGTCCTTTAGGTAACGCTACAGGCAAAAAATTTAAAAATTATTTTTGGTTTTCTTCAACAACAAGACCCAAAAGATAATTTTTTCTATAAACGGGTCTCCAGTAGAGATGATACTTAGATTTGGGTTATGCCTCTCCTGATACCCAAAGAGAGTCTTCCATATAACTACTATGTTGGAGGCTATAAATATTGTATTGAAGACCTATTTTAAATTTGGGTTTTCCAATAAATCTTCTGTTGGAGACAACATTACCAGCTTTCTCCGGGCCTGGCCCTGAGATGTTGTGTGCTCTGTCCTCACGCAGGAGTACGCCTTTGGAAGACTAACGCACCTCAGGTTGTACTTTCAAGAAACACTCTAGATTTCTTTGGAGTTTCTAGAGCACGTGAAGAAGGATATAGAAGGGTACATACGTAATTTCACACTTCTACTAAATTTACCTAAAAAATGAGATTTACATGTTTTATGGGATAGAGGGAGTACTCGTGACGTGCGTTATGCGTAGTACACGATCGTTCTCGTCACCCTGTGTGCTCTGCCCTCTTCACCGAAGCGGGGGATAATTGTGTCCCACAAAAACGGGTGATAACGTTGCCGTGTTACCACATGAACAGTGTCAGAGCTTGCTTGAGATCTCAGGAGGAGCAAATGAGCAGCCAAGCCAAACACAACAATTTTACAGTTTATTCGGCAACAAAATACTTTGAAATCGTTACTTTTCTTTACAAATAACTCAAATAGAGAGGTGGCACATCGGACGTTCAGATGCTAATTAGGAGAACTAAACATAAACTAATTATAAAACTAATTGCACAGATAACGACTAATTTGCGAGATGAATCTATTAAGTCTAATTAATCTATCATTAGCACATGTTTACTCATTGTCAAATCATGGAAAAATTAGGCTTAATAGATTTGTCTCGTAAATTAGTTTACATTTGTGCAAGTAGTTTTGTAATTAGTCTATATTTAATACTATAAATTAGTGTCAAACATCCGATGTGAGTCCCTGTAACCAAACGCACCTGGACCAAGAGACTAAACTTTAGTCCCTGTCACATTGAATATTTGATACTAATTACGAGTATTAAATGTAGACTAATTACAAAACTAATTATATAAATAAAGACTAATTCACGAGATAAATCTATTAAGCCTAATTAATCCATGATTAACCCATGTGATGCTATAGTAAACATGTGCTAAATATGGATTAATTAGGCTTAATACATTAGTCTCACGAATTAGTCTCGACTTATATAATTAGTTTATGTTTAGTTCTTCTAATTACCATCTAAACATCCGATGTGATACGGTTAGGCCTTATTTAGTTCCCCCTAAAGTTTACTTCCTATCACATCAGATGTTTGACATATGTATGGAGTATTAAATATAGACTAAAAAATAACTAATTGCATAGATTACGACTAATTTGCGAGACGGATTTTTTAAACCTAATTAGTCCATGATTTGACAATGTGGTGCTACAACAAACATGTGCTAATGACGGATTAATTAGACTTAATAAATTCGTCTCGCAGATTACCGAGGACTTTTGTAATTTGTTTTATTATTACTATCCAAACACTCCCGTGTGATATCTCGATGTGCCACCCAATGTGACGTCCCTAAATTTTACTCACTCAATTTAAACACAGCCTAAGTATGTGATGAGAGGGGTTACATGGTGGTTGGGTTAACCGGCCGTTAACATGGGTGGTACTCACGGCCAGACACGACGACAGTAGATCGAGGCTCATAATGTAGGGCATGTTTGGTTGCTGCCTCTCAGGTAGCTCCGACGCCAGGTAGCGACCTCAGGCGTTGGATTTCGATCGCCTGGGGCTGCGATCGCTTGCCTGGCAGGCAAGCCCAGGCGAGGACGGCAACCAAACATGCCCAACGTCTCCGGGCCTGGCCTGGCCCTCGCAAACACCGCCGCACACGCGCAGGGCGTTATGCGTACACGTCTACACGATCGTTCTAGTCACCAGTAGCGGACCCAGCGCTTGATCGTAGCCCGGACAAATTTCATTGGGCCAATCAGCTCTGTGCTCTGTGCTCTGTGCTCCTCTTGTTTTGGATCTCCCAACATAACATGCTGCCACAGAAAATAAAAAGGGTGCACCAGCAAAGGAGCCTGGGCAGGCGTCCAGGGTGGGCGGACCCTAGGTCGCCCTGTGCTCTGCTGTCCTCTTCACCGAACCGAAGCGGGTGATAATTGTGTCAAAAAAAAAAAGCGGGTGATAATGTTGCCGTGTTACCGCGTAAACAGCGACGAAGCATGCTTAACACAATAGTTTTATGGTTTATTCACCAACAAAATGCTTCGAAATCGCTTGTATTGTTTACAAATTGCTCAAATGGAGAGGTCGCTATGGCCCCTTTTCACCTCAATGAAGCTCCTCCAGCACACATGAACATGCAAGGTACTCATATCAATTCTTATGCGATCATCCAATCAAAATTCTAAAAAGAACAGTGGATCGGAACTGATCCCCTTTGCCAAGCCAGGGCCTATGCATCAAACAAAATCACGCCCCAAGAGAATCACGCTCCAGCAACCATGAAATATACTGTACTATGTTCGTTTCTCATTTGTGTATCATCTCATAAAATATTTATGTAGAAGAAGTTATTTAATATAAATCATATATAATATTAGTAGGTGCTAATCACTACAAGTAACTTGTTAATCCGTGACGAATTCTTGATGATGGATTTATAAATCGTCACTAATAGACGCAATCCGTGACGATAATTTATTTTTTGTCATGGTTGTGCACCATAGGATATTCCCGGCCCACTAACTTGTGACGATTTTATTCGGATCGTCACAGTGTATGATTTTAAATTCATCACTCTAGTTAGCCCTAAACAATAGGCCCGCTATCAATATTTAGTGCAAAGAAAAATAAAAAAAGTGATTGCAAAGAGAATCAAACCCAAAAGACGATTTGTTAAATTATTTGAACAAATAACTTTGTTAGTATATGATACATATGGCAAAACTAAAAATATTCTCCATATATATATATATATATATGTGTGTGTCGGATGGGAACAAAAAAATAGGCGTTGGGTTTTGAACCCAACGCCTGTAGTAGCAACATGTCTTACCATTTGAGCTACATGTTCAATGTGCCTAAATCTCCTACAACTAAAAAGAACAAAACTAAGACAATCGAATGGTGCAACAATTGTTTGGGTCGTCGCTCCGCTCGACGTGCGATCCCGCGAGGGGAAGCCGTGATACGTCACGGGACCGACTGCACTCGAGCCCGATCAGATAAGGAAGGCAACGCACACTCGCTCCATGCGATCAGTTCAATCCCCATAACAGTCGCAACAAATCAGGAAGGCAAAAATCAATTCCCATAACAATCGCGATCAATTCCGCGATCACCCCACGCCGCCAATCACACGAGACTGCGACCTCACCTGCACCGCGACCTCCCCAGCACTCCGCACTCGCACGGCACCGCGACCTCACCTCTTCGTGACTAGCCCTCGCACCACCTTCGCCATCGCACACGCCGTCCGCCGATCAACGCCATCGTTCAATCGCGGCCTGTCCCCGTCCGGCCCCGTCTGATGCCCCGTCCTGTCCCCATCGCCTCGACGCCGCCGCCCTGCCCGCTGACGCCGACGTACCCTGTCACGATGCCGAGCTAGCGACGAGCAACCACCAGGTACGTGTAACACCTCTGGTGTTACGAGCTCGTTTAGCACCGATATTTATGCCTAAGAAAAATTTCCGCAACGAGTTTTTCGGATTTTT